GTATTGTTGAGAGATGTGTTGATTCGGTTGTTATTAAGTTGTTAGTGTTCTGAGGTGATCTATGAGTTACTTTTCCGTGTTGCGAGGCATTATGATTGGTTGGTTATAGGCACATGTGGTGCGGTTTTATCGGGGTCTCTCAGTGGAATTCGAGCGAGAAGAGTACTAGGTATTGCTCGGCGGATGGCGTATCGGTTGTGTCCTTTCAGGTTTGTATGGCATTATGTCATTACTTCACCGTGGGTATGATGATTTGCTTTGGTTCCAGACATCAAATTGCGCGTGGTTGTCGGTTTTGAGCATAGTGACTTGAGGTGTTTCATATGGACCAGTGTTTGGATGGAGTCGCGCATTGCAGCGAAGTTATGTGGAGGTATGACCCTTCGGGTTAGATTTGTGTGTTCTATTTCTACGATGTGTGACGGGTTCTCAGCATTGTGTGTGGTGGTACTGGTGAGCATGCGGTACAACTCACTTATATGAGTCATTTTTTTTCATGATTTGAATACATTCGGATTGTTGCTTATTGGTGCGCGAGTTGCACGAGTTGTGGCTTTAGATTGTATTGATGTGTCATGTCACTAGAGTAGTTGTGTTGGATTAGATGAGATCGCCAGGATCTAAAATGAATACAAACGGATTCGATTTCAATATGTTGGAAGGATAATGTCGATGTTCGGCTCAGAAATTTGCTAGGGTCCTTGCCAAAGGAGGAGTGACTTCATGAATGGTTGATCTGACGAATGGTTATTTATTTTCTATGTGTTTCATTTATCATTGGCAGCATATGAAAGTGTTGGAATGAGACTTTAGTTGGTAAGAGGTTTACTATCAGCATTCGGTGGTTGTGTGCAGCTGCTGTGATTAGAAGTTATCGCTGCAAGTGTTTGAGTTATGGGGTATATCATGTAATTGCACCTGAGGTTGCAGGTATGGGTTATTACAGCTTGTTCAGGCTTATTCAGAGTATAGATGTGAGATTCTGATCTTATGGATGATTTCAGAAGTAAAAATATGGTTCGAAGGTTATGTGCTAGGTTGGATTGCAAAATTTCAGTTACATTGTGTTATCGGACCTATATGAGATAGGGTGACGTGGGTTCATCCCCGGGTATGTGCATGGTAAGGTTATTCAGCGATTGATTGGCTTTTGGAACAACTCTGGGCACGTTCGAGGACGAACTTATGTTTAAGTGGGGGGGGGGGGATGTAATGACCCGACCCGTCGTTTTGAGCTTTTGCATTTCGCTCGCCAGTTCTCGGGCATGTCTAGCCCCGTATTATGCATTATGACTTATGTAAATCGTTGGTTTTGGTTTTCAGGGTAATCGGAATGAACTTGGAAGAATAGTTCTCAGTTTGAAGCTTGAAATTTGAAAGGTTTGACCAAGTTTTGACTTATTGGTATATGATCTCGGATCGAAATTTTTATGATTTGGATAGCTCCGTTAGGTGATTTGGGACTTAGGAGCGTGATCGGAATGCATTGTGGAGGTCCGTGGAAGGTTTAGGCTTGAATTGGCGAAATTGAGATTTTGGCGGTTTCCGGTTGATAGGTGAGATTTTGATATAGGGGTCGGAATGGAATTTCGAAAGTTGCAATAGTTCCGTTGTGGCATTTGGGATGTGTGTGCAAAAATTCAGGTCATTCGGACGTTGTTTGGTATACTTTCTGATCGAAAGCGTAATTTGGAAGATTTTGGAAGTTTCGGCTTGAATTCGATGTGTTTTGGTGGTTTTGATGTTGTTTGAGGTGTTTTGAAGGTTGGTATAAGTTTGAATAGTAGTATAGGATGTGTTTGTGCTGTTGGTTGAGGTTCCGGGGGCCTCGGGGTGTTTTTGAATGGTTGACGGAAGTTTGGAAATTGGTTTTGGCAGCTGAAGATGTCCCATTGATGTCATAACCGCACCCACGGCTAGGGGACCGCAGGTGCGGTATCGCAGATGCGGTAGCTGAACCACACCTGCGTGATGCAGATACAGTTATAGGGTCGCAGGTGCGAGAGGCGGCTTAGTGAGGACCGCAAAAGCGGCCACAAGGCCGCAGATGCGGAACTCCTGGGCCGGCAGTATATAATATTTCCCTTCACGAATTTTGGCTAAAAACTCCATTTTTGAAGACGGGAAACGAGCTAGGGCAGAGAATTCAAGGGAAAATCAAGGTGAATCAGTTGGGTAAGATCTCTAAGCTTCATTACTCGAGTTTATGATCATTTTTCCATTGATTAATCATGAAATTAGTGGAAATTAAGGGTAAAAACTGAGGAAACTAGGGCTTGGTATTGGAGACCTAAACTTGAGGATTTGGAGGACCATTTGTGGTTGGATTTTGGAACTTTTGATATGTATGAACTCGTGGGGAAATAAGGAACCTAATGATGTAAAATTTATCGAATTCTGAAATGTGGGCCCGGGGGTCGGGTTTTGGTAATTTCGAAATTTGCGTTGTTTTTCGATTATTTTTGAGTGGGCTGTGTCCCTTTAGCATATTTTGATGATTATGTTCTGATTTTGGTAGATTCGGAGCATCCGGAGGCCGATTCGAGGGGCAAAAGCATTGCGAGCTAGAGTTTGGGCCGGATTGAGGTGAGTAATGATTTTAAATGCTGTCCTGAGGGTATGAAACCCCGGATTACACAGCGTTCGGCTATGTTGTGGTGACGCACACGCTAGATGACGAGCGTGGGGTCGTGCACCGTTGGGGATTGTGACTTAGCCCATCCTGAATGACTGTTTTACTGCGTATTCGATAGCTAATTGTTGATATTATTATGTTTTGGGCTAAATGCCATATTTGGGCTTCGTGCCAACTGTTTGGACCCTTAGGGGATCTTTACTGATATTTTTACTCACTGTTTAACTTCATACTTGTGCTCAGTCACGCCATATTTTACGGTTTTCAAAACTCAGCCATGTTACTCTGTTTTAAACACTTTAAATGATATTTTTAAAGATATTTTGAGCTGAGCATCATGTTTACTGTTGCCCGAGGGGCTTATGAGATTCTGACTGAGTAAGATCGAGGGCCGGTATTGTGAGGTTACTTTTGGGTCGGGTTGCACGCCACAGCGGTGATAAACCGATTGTGATAATAAGGCCGAGGGCAGAGATTGTACGCCACGAGGTGGCTTGTGATTGATATGAGGCCAAGAGCCTGTTTATGATGCCACGAGATGGCTTGATATTGCGCTTGGCCCGTAAGGGGCCCCTCCCGGAGTCTGTACACCCCCAGTGAGCGCGGGTACCCATTGTGATATGAGATATAGCCCGAGGGGCTGATATTGTTCTGTGATGTTGCCCGATGGGCTAATTCTATTGTTACTGTGCCTGAGGGGCAGTTCTTATGTGTTTACCTTTTCTAGCTATTTTTCCTCTATTTGTTTAACTGCTTAAAAGGCATTTTTATGGGATTTCACTATTTAATTGTATTTACTAATTTTATCCTGCCTCTTATAGCTTATTGTTATGTTTAACGTGATTTTATATCGCTCAGTCTTCATTTCTTGTTATTACTCATGAGTTGGAGTACTCACTTTACTCCGTGCACCCCTGTGTGCAGATTCGGGCGCTACAGGTCTTGCTAGCGAGGGTTGAGAGCTGTCCAGCAGACTTCCGGAGATTCACTAGGTAGCTGCCCGGCAATTCACAGCCCAGTGCATTCTCCCTCTATCTTATTTCCTTTCTGATTCAGTTATGTAGTAGTGGAGTAGACTTTCAGACTTGTAGTATTATTTTAGATGCTCATGACTGGTGACACCCCGATGTTGGGCTGTGTTGGTTTTAATTCTGCAAATCATACTATTTATTTTGGGATTTTATTTCTGGTAAAGACTTAGTAATCATTATTTTAATTGCTTAAATTGAATTGGAAGTGTGTCGGCTGGCCTTGTCTTCACGAGAGGCGCCATCATGATCGGGTCCGAGTTTAGGGTCGTGACAACCCGGTCGGTCAATTTAAGAATTAAAGTCCCGTTCGGCGGCATAAGGTCTCGAGCTACTTCGTATATCGTGTTATAACTTGCGTCCATGGCCTAGTTCAATTATCAGATGATATGCAGTCAATTTGGAAGAAGAATTTATGGTTTAGTAGCTTGAGTGGTAAGAGTTGACCGGAATTTAACTTTGTGTAAATGTCTCCAGAATGGGGTTTTGATGTTTCCAACAGCTTTGTATGGTGATTCTGTACTTAGGCGTGTGTCCAGATTTTGGTTTGGAGGTTCGTAGGGTAATTTGAAGCATTTCGGCGAAAGTTGGAAAAGTTGAAGTTTGGAAGGTCGAGAGGTTAAATTCCGGCCTCTACTTATCGTACGCATTGCCTCCATGGCCTCCTCGACCTCAATTTGCCTACAATAAACTAAAGTCATGGGGACTGTCGGCATTCCTCAATTCACCTAGTACAATATCCTGATCCCCTTCTTCATTTAGAAGTTTATGAAAGTAGGTCTGTCATCTCCTCTTAATCTGGTCATCCCCCATCAAAACATTGCCGTCCTCATCTTTTATGCACCTCACTTGGTCCAGATCCCGAGCCCTCCTCTCTCTCGCCTTAGCCAGCCAGAATAACTTCTTCTCCCCGCCTTTGTTCCCCAGTTCCTCATACAGACGAGTAAAAGCCGCAGTCTTAGCCTCCGTGACTGCTATCTTCGCCTCTTTCCTAGCTACCTTATACCTCTCACTGTTTGCTCTCTTTTCCACCTCACCAGTGCTCCCTACTAACCGCAGGTAAGCCGCCTTCTTCGCTTCCACTTTACTTTGGACAAGTGCATTCCACCACCAGTCTCCTTTGTGGCCACCAGTGCGGCTCGAAGATATCACTAACACCTCTCTCGCCGCCTTCCTTATACATTCCGCCGTCGATGACCACATAGTGTTTGCGTCCCAACTACTCCTCCAAGCTCCCATAGCCGATAACCTTCCTTCCAACTCCTGAGCTTTATCCTTAGTCAAGGCGCCCCACCTAATCCTCGGACAATCTCGAACTGACATCTTCTTCCTCCTAATCATAATATACCAATGTCCATTACCAAAAGCCTATGCTGCATTGTAAGGGTCTCACCAGGCATAACCTTGCAATCCTCGCACAACCTTCTGTCACATCTCTTGAGGAAGAGATAGTCAATCTGAGTCTTCGCCACCAAACTTTGGAAAGTAACCAAATGCTCCTCCAACTTCGGGAAACTTGAGTTCGCAATCACTAGCTCGAACGCCTTGGCGAAGTCCAACAGCGAAGTGCCCCATTCGTTCCGCTCCCCGAAACCGAAGCCGCCATGCACCTTAGTATAACCACCTGCAGACGACCCAATATTACCATTGAAATATCCTCCTATTAATAGTCTCTCGGTAGGCAGAATACTACGCACGATCTCATCCAACCCCTCCCAAAAGCGCCTTTTAATCTCCTTATCCAATCTTGCTTGCGGCGGGTATGCGCTAACGACATTTAAAGTACACTCACCCACCACCAACTTAATAGTCATTAATATATCATTCACCCGCCTAACCTCTACCACCGACTCTCTAAGATGCCTATCTACCAAGACACCCACTCCAGTCTTACCCCTCAGGACTCCAGAGTACCACAACTTATACCCATCCGCATCCTTCGCCCTCGATCCGACCCACCTAGTCTCCTGGACACATGCTATATTAATCTTCCTCTTCTGAAGGATATTTACCAACTCTATAGACTTACTCGTTAGTGAACCTATGTTCCATGACCCGATTCTCAACCTATAGGCTCCCTTTCCTCCTCTACCTCCCCCGCCTCCCGTCCCACCTCCTGGCCCCTGCCCCACACTTTTCCCCACACTCTACCCCACCCGAGGACATGCCCTTACTCTATCATCCCAGACTACAGCCACTACACCTACAACAAACTAAAGAGGACTCGCTAGCGCACAACGGTCAGTGAACCAAACTAGAAGAAAACAAGTAACTACTAGCACACTAGTTGTATAATTGAACTATTGCGAACTAAAGTGACATCAATTTGGCTAACACCAAAAGGGAAATAGTAAAACGGGAGGTACCAACTCCCGAGAACAGAACCTGTGGTTGATTTGCTGTACTCGATGTTGTTCCACGCTCACGTCCAGCTTCCCACCGCCCTTTGCTGACACTCGCCCGGGCTGCTCTCCTTTGCTAGTGCTCGTGCGCCCAGCTTTTCTCCAACAACTCCGAGAATTTCCCTGAAAAACACAGAAAATACCAGGTACCAAAAACCAAAAAGGGGTTGTCACTGCTACCACTGGTGTAGCCCCGACAGTAGCAGGGGAAATGGAGGGAAAAAACAGAGAAAGGGACGAGAAAAGGAGGGAAGAACAAAGAGAAACGAGAAGGGAGATATGGGGATAAATAACTGGGGGTGGGGGATGCAGGCTGATAATTAAAAAAAGAAGAGAAGCGAGGGAGAAAAGGGTCACCTAAAATTGCTTACAACGACGCAGTCGCCAGGTGACTACCGCAAATATGGTGGTGGTAGGGGAGGAGGAGGGGAGGAGGAGGGGAGGGGGTAGAGATGTTGATGAGAGGTGGGAGAGATGGTAGGTGGGGGTTGGGGGTAGCTTACCTGCCTGGGGTGGGGTGGCCGGCGTTGCTGCTGGTCGCTGGTGGAGTTGTCAGTGACCGTTAGTCATAGAAGAAGGGGAGCGTCGAAGAGAGAGAAAGTCTAAGTTCTTTCCTGTAATGATGTTACACTTTTCTTGATGTTGTATTTACACTGTTTATCCTTATTTCGAAACAGTTGTATTTAGAGGTTTATCTAGCAAACTCAGTAGAGCTTATGACTTGTACTACCGGTTTCGGGATTATAAATTTGTATAGAGATTTTTATTTCGAAATTATCAGATGTTTGTTAAATATTGTTGTTATTTCAGTTATTGTCAGGCTTACCTAGTCCCTAAGACTAGGTGCCATCACGACACCCAATAGAGGGAAATTTGGGTCGTGACACAATTAAACGAGCAACTTCAAGAGGTTAAGGATAAGTGGGCCGAGCTCCATGACGTTGTGCTTGCTGATGCCGAGTGTGAGTCGGCCCTCGAGGAGCAGATAAATAATTTAAAGGCAGAGCTAAACTCCAAAACCGATAAAGCCAGTGTTGCCGAGGAGAAGAGGCCAAAATGGAAAAGAGGTTTAAGAGAATCATAGAGCAAAATTGGATCCACTTATCTACAATTGTTGGGTTTGATTCACGCCTCGGTGCCATGAGATCCGAAAGGGATAGCCTTCAGGCCGAAATTGATAGACTTAAAGCAATGATCTAGTACCAAGAGGATTCCCTCGTATTTGAGAAGACTTAGGCTATATATCATATGAGGAGGAAAACCTTGGAAGAGGCCAAAACGACATTGTCAATATTGATGATTGCATCGTCAATGCTAGAGAACTGAAGCTAGCTGCTCGTGAAAATCTTCCTATTCGGCCCATTGCAAATGACTCCTCGAGTATTGATTCTAAGTATTCGGGGACCGAAGGGGGATATTGAGGAAGATGAAGATAAAGACCCTGAACTGGCAGCTGATCTGCCTTCCTCCACTGGGGGAAACGCAGATCCCTCTCTCCCTTCGGGCTCTGACGGCAATGATGCCTAGTTTATTTTTTCTTTTCTTTTTTTTCTTGTTTTTTTGGTACTTTGTAATCATGCCAAAATTTTCACCGAGTTTGGCACTTTTATAAATAAAGAATTTTTTGCTTAAGTGTTGTGCAAAATATATTCCTTTTGTGTTGAATTGGTTAAAGCTTTGGCTATATTTTCATTCGATATCTTTTGATTCCGGGCATAAATTCTTCCGGAATTAACCCTTTACTATGAAGGTTTCATAAGAGAGGGCTCTCTTATGTTTACGGTGCTTTTGAAGAGGACGTCTCATGTTCATTCCAGCACAAGCATTTGAAGTTTTTGCTAACTTTCAAATGATAAAATTAACTCATCATTTGGACAAGAAATAAGATAAAAATAAAAGGATTTTATTTTATTCCTTCTATCTTTAAAAGTGCATAAGCATTCCTTTGCTAAAAATTATCAATACATGTGGCTAACTTGTACAACTTATTTCTATGGGGCTAATTATGCAGTCCGCGGACCTGATGAAACATTGATCCCGGTTCTCGTAGTCCCGAATTTCATGGCACTCCTGGTGCCGTATCAGATATTATTTTGGATAACTTGTACAAATTATTTCTGCGGGGCTGATCATGCAATCCCCGATCCTGATGAAGTTTGATCCCGGTTCTCGCAGTCCCAGATTTTGTGGCACTCCTGGTGCCATATCAGATGTTATCCCCCCCAAGTGTTCGAATGCGAAGCATGCGAATTTGAACACCGGGAGTCTTGCTTCACCGGTGGAAATGACTTGTGAATGGTTAATAATCCTTTTTAGTGATGGAAGCCAAGTGTGCCACCGAACCAAAGATTATTTAACCATCCACATAGTCATTTTCCATCATTGTGAAAATTTTAGTGCCTTGATATTTAAAGGTCTTTTCCTTTTGTCGATGACACTCCCTTCATAGTATGCTTTCCGTTGCTGCCTCATTAAAAACCTTGCCCAAAAAAACCTGACTGGGACAAAAACTGGTCGAAGGGAAAAAGAGTGCAACACAACTTTCAGTATTGGTAGCATCCATCAGCAATAATACCTTTTGAGGTGAGTCACGTTCAAATTTCTAGGCAACTTGACTCCATCTTGATTCTCCAACTCGTACGACCCTTTAACGGTAATAGCTATAACACAGTAAACACTTTCCCATGTTGGACCCAGCTTCCGAGCGTTGACTTTCCGAGTGCTCTGAGTCACCTTTCTCAAAACTATGTCTCCTAATTTGAAGTAGTGGAGATTGGCCCTTAGATTATAATATTTTTCCATCATTTGCTTTGAGCCACCATCCTCACGTACGCCAAGTCCCTATGTTCGTCTAGAAAGTCTAGCCTCACCAGCAACGCTTCATTGTTTGTTTCTTCGTTTGTTCGGAAAAAACCTTAAACTTGGTTCCCCTACTTCCACTGGTATCAGAGTTTCCACGCCATATACGAGAGAGAAAGGTGTTTCCCCGTGCTCGATTTTGTCGTTGGCTGATATGCCCAAAGCACCCCCGATAGCTCTTCGGGCAATTTACCTTTAACAGTTTCTAACTTCTTTTAAAAGTTTTGGATAATCACCTTATTGGTTGATTCTGCCTATCCATTAGCACTTGGATGGTACGATGAAGATGTAATCCTCTTGATTTTCAAATCTCCCAAAAATTTTGTGACTTTGGAACCTATGAACTGCGGTCCGCTGTCGCAAGCAATCTCCCTTGATATTCTGAATCGGCATATTATGTGGTCCCATATGAAGTCGACCACTTCGCTCTCACGATCTTTTGGCAAGGACCTACTTCAACCCATTTAGTGAAGTAGTTAGTTAAAACTAAAAGAAATCTTACCTTTCTGGGGCCCAGGGGCAAAGGACCGATCATGTCCATTCCCATTTCATGAATGGCCATGGGGACAATACCGAATGCAAGAGTTTTGTTGGTTGAGGTACCAAATGTGCATGGAGTTGACATTTGCCGCACTTCTAAACAAGTGCTTTTGCGTCCCGGTCCATCCGGGGCCAATTGTAAACTGCCCTAACCAACTTTAGAACTAACGAATCTGCACTGGAATGGTTCCGCAAATTCCTTCGTGGACTTCTCTCATCACGTAGTCTGCCTCTGAGGCTCCCATATATCGGGCCAATGGCCGTTGGTATGATCTTTTATATAATTGCCCATCTATGAGGTAGTATCGAGCTGCTTTGGTTCGTAATGCCCGGGACGCCTTTGAGTCTTCGGGTAACTTGCCATGTCGAAGGTACTCGACGAGCTCATTCCTCCAATCCCAGACTAAGTTGGTTGAATTGACCTCGCAATAATCATCCACATCCAGTATCGAGTGCAAAAGTTGAATGACTATACCGGAATCAGATCCCTTCATCTCCGTGGATGACCGCAAATTGGCCAACGCATCTGCTTACACATTTTCTTCCCTTGGGATATGTATGATTGACCATTCCCTGAATCATGCAAGCAATGTTTGAACCTTGTTGTATTGTTGCATGCGCTCTTTCTTCACATCGAAAATCCCATACACTTGGTTTACTACCTATTGGGAGTCGCATTTTAATTCGATGGCCTCGGAGCCTAGTCCCTGGGCCAGTTCAAGCCCTACAACAAAAGCCTCATACTCGGCTTCATTGTTATTTAATGGTACAGTCTTAATGGCTTGTCTCAGGATTTATCTCGAGGGCGTGACTAGAGCTATCCGGAGACCAGACTCTTTTACGTTAGAAGCGCCATCCGTAAAGAAGGTCCAGACTCCTGATATCGGCCAAAACTTGTGTCTTGATCGCAGTCCTATGTTTGTACTCAACATCGAACTCACTGATCTCGACCGCCCATTTAGCCATACGGCCAGACAACTAAGGCTTTGAAGTACATTCCTTACAGGAAAGGTTGTCACAACGGCTATCGGGTGGCACTAAAAATAACGTCTAAGCTTTCGAGAGGCAACTACGAGTGCTAAGGCTAATTTTTTGAGGTGTGGATATCGAGTCTCCGCTCCTGACAATATTTTGCTAACATAATAAATGAGAAATTGCGTACCTTCTTCCTCTCGGACTAAAATGGTACTTACTGCCGCTTCCGAGACCGCTAGGTATATTAACAACTGCTCGCCTTCCCCCGGTTTCAACAGTAATGGGGGGATCTATAAGTATCTTTTAGGTCTTTCAATGCCCATTGGCATTCCAGAGTCCACTTAAAATTGTTTCTTTTTTTAAGAAGTGAGAAGAAGTGATGAACTTTTCTGAGGATCTTGAGATGAACCTGCTCAAGGCTACTAACCATCCGTTTAATCTTTGCACCTCATTCACGCTCGTCAGCTAGTCCGGAATGTCTTCAATGGCTTTGATTTTGTCGAGGTTTACCTCGATCCCTCTTTGCGAGACCAGGAACCTCGAGAACTTACTAGATCCAACTCCGAACGCACATTTTTTCGGGTTGAGCTTCATGTTATGTTTCCTTAGAATGTCGCAAGTCTCTTGGAGGTGTTTCAAATGATCTCCTGCATTCAAAGACTTGACTAACATGTCTTCAATGTATACTTCCATTATTTTGCCTATCTATTATTCAAACATTTTCTTAACGAGCCTTTGATAAGTGGCTCCGGCGTTCTTAAGACAAACGGAATAACATTATAGAAATATGTGCCAAAGTTTGTTATGAAAGAAGTTTTTTCCTGATCCTATGGGTTCATCTTGATTTGATTGTACCCGGAGTAAGCATCAAGGAAACTCATTAGCTCATGCCCGGTCGTAGCATCAATCATTTGATCAATATTTGGCAATGGGAACGAGTCTTTAGGACATGCCTTATATAAATCCTTATAATCTATGCACATTTTAAACTTGTTTTTTTTCTTCGGAACTACAACTACATTGGCTAACTATTCTGGATATATTACCTCCCGTATGGAATCGGTATTGTGTAGTCAGGTTACTTCTTCTTTAATAAACCTATTCCCGACCTCGGTAATTAGATGCTTCTTCTGTCTTACTAGTGGGTAGTTTGGGTCCAGGCTTAGCTTGTGCACGACCACTTCTAATAGGATACATGTCATATCCGAGTGCGACCATCCAAAGCAATCTGCAATAGCTTTAAGAAAATTTATAAATTCTAACCCGAGTTCGGGATTGAGTCCTGTTCCCAAGTGAAACTTCCTTTCCAAAAATTCATCAAACAAGGCCACTTGCTTGAGTTCTTCCGCGGTTGACTTTGTCGTATCTATCTCCTCCGGTACCTGAAAATATCTCGGCACCTGGTGGGATTCTGGCGACTCCTCGCCTTTATAGTCTTTATTCGGGAAGGGAGAAGGCATCATTTCGTGTAATTGCTATTTGCTGGGCTCCTTCCCCTTGCTGCTGAAAATTATTACTATGTTCATTTTCCTTGCTGCCAGTTAGTCTCCTCTTATCAGCTTGATCCCTTCCGATGTTGGAAACTTCAATAACTAGTGATATTACATTGTAGCCCATATCGCCATCTACCACTTCGAAAAAGGTGGTCTTGGTTACCCCTTAGGCATTCGTGGGCAACAGGATCTCTCCTCGGGCTATCACACTTGTCAAGTTGAATCTAGCTAAGAGTTTTGTAGCCGGTATGATGCTTCTGGTCAGCTTTGCTTGCTCCAGCACTCTCCATTGGATGATGTTGGCTGAGATTCCTGGGTCAACCAAAACATGCTTAATTTTGAAATCTAAAATATTAAGAGAGATTACTAGAGCGTCATTGTGTGGCAGAAGAAGGCCACCAGCGTCTTCCTCCGTGAAGGTGATATCATCTTTCTCGACTTCCCGGAGTCTCTTATTATGAGTCACCGATATCTTTGTTTTCTTAGCCGCCAAGAAGGTTACGCCGTTGATTTCATTACCTCCGAAATCATGTTGATGGTCAACCGAGAGGAGTCTTCTTCCTTCAAAGGCTCTGTATTATCCCTGCTTCGGTCATACTTGTTCTTGGCTCGATCACTTAAAAATTCCTTGAGATTGCCATTCTTCAACAATGTCGCCACGTCTTCACGTAGATACCAGCAGTCCCCAGTTCTATGGCCGTGAGTCCCATGATATTCACACCACAAGTTGGGATCCCTCTAGCTGGGATTAGATCTGATTGGCTTCGGTAATCGTGCTTATTTGATATTCTTCATCGCTGATACCAACTACACTAAGCTGATGTTGAAGTTAAATTCCGATAACCTGTGGTATGTGGAGTCTTGGGCCCCTGGTACCTCTTTTTCTTGTAATGACTTATTGTTCCGTCCACGGTCGGTTCTTCTATAGGGAGAGAACCTATCCGAGGAGTGGAACCTTAGTTTGCTGCTGCATCTTTCGACTGTTTCATATGACAGGAAACGACCTTTACAAGACTGCAGATCCGCATCGAAGTCGCTTTTAAACTTGTATTGGTTCTTGCATCGTTCCCGTCCCTTGGTTGATGTCGAGAACCCGGGCCGATCATCTTCTATACTTATTTTTGACTCGTAACGGTTATGGACGTCTGCCCATGTGGTTTCTTGAAACTCGAGCGGGCTTTCCTTCAACTTTAGACCCTTTGTGAACACCTCCGCTACCTACTCATCTGGTATCGCCAGTAGAAGCATCCTCTCTTTCTATAAAGGGATCACGAACTCTCGCAATAGTTCGGTCCCGCCCTGCACAATCCTATATATCCGCCTTCTAGGCTTGAACCTTCCTTTCCCCAGCATGGGCCTTAACGAATGAATTTGCAAGTATCTCAAAAAAGTCAATTGAGGTGCTCGGGTAAAGAGAACACCATGCCAGGACCCCTTTTGTGAGGATTTTGCCAAACTTCTTCAGCAAGACCGATTCGATCTCATGTTTAGCCAAATCATTCCCTTTCACAGCCTTGGTGTAGGTTGTAATGTGCTCCTGTGGATCCAAAGTCCCATCGTATTTTGGTATGTCCGGCAACTTTAACCTCTTCAGAATTAACTCTGGTGCTGCGCTCGGCTTAAATGGGAATTGCGTGTACTTTTTTGAATCTAGGCCTTTCAGAACTGGTGGTGCGCCTGAAATCTTATCCATTCTGGTGCGAAACTCCTTCGCATTTTGACCCATTCGTTCATTCATTTCCCTCAAAAACCTCACAAGCTCAGTTTTGAAGGGATCATTGTTGATACCCAATTTTACCCTCATATTTTATAAATATCTTATATACTTTCAAAATATCATTCCTGCATCATTACCAATTTACAATAGTCATATAAGTACTTCCTGTAATTTTTCATAATTATTAAGGTTTTAAAATTGATTTTTTCTTGCATTTAAATTAGTCAAATATTTATTAATTACTCCTTCAAATTATTTTTTGATGACTAATCATCCAAATTTATTATTTATACTTATATATATGTTTTATAATATTTTACTTCATTTTATAGAATTACATCTGCATTTTTGAACTATTTATGCATTTTTCGCAATAATAGCCTATACTTTACAATTAATTATATTTTGTCATTTTATTTAGGGTCAATAACTTTATATTTCGATAACCTTCATCTATTAATTTAACATATTAAGTTGCGTAAATACTATTTCTTTTATATTTATTTAGCTATTTTATTAAATTATTTTCCCTTAATTTCTTGTATTTAAAATCAAGCCCAATACAAGGCTAATTTCAGACCAAAGCTAGCCCAAACTTTAGCCCAATCCCCTTGGCCCAAACAAAATGACCCTTTAATAAGCCCGGTCGGTACCCGTTTTAAACGACCCACCCCGGTCATCTTTTAAATCCTGGCCATTGATCTCTCAAGATCAACGGTCCTCGCTCACCCAAGCCCTTTTAATTAACCATACCCGGAAACCCTACCTCATTTCCCACCTAATAGCCACCCCCAAACCCTCTCAAAGGTTCTCTCTTCTCCTCTGAAATCCTAGTAGCCGCCTCCTCTATCCTCCCTAACTATATCTCTAAAATGGAATCCCTCCATGATTTTCCTTCCA